CTTAACACATTACCGACCGCTAGCGTTTCAGCAGCATACGCACGTTCGACCGGCCGCTCAGCCACGGATTCTCCCTGGCGCCGGCTCTGTTTTAGTTTGCCTGTCGCGCTAGAGTGTCTGTGCGTTCCGTATGCTCAAATAAATTGTCTACTTTCTGTTATTATAGGATAATTAGATTTCATAGAATCTTTTATTTTAATGATATTAACGCTAAATTATATTTATTTTATGTATTACAGTGGTTACTACAAATAAGGAATAGTTAATATTTTTTTAAAGCATGATAACGTTCAAAACAGTCGCTTTTATGTAATGGAACTTCGCAAAATTTACAAACAAAACCTGTTCTACTTCTTTTTTTATGCACTGCACAAACTCTACATTGTCTTAGGGGTTTGGAATTTCGATCACTGGTCACTATATTTATAAGTTTGTGCTTCCCGAAATTCGATAGTCTTCCAGGATGGTCTGATCTGGCTAATCTCCTTGTAGGTTCAGGAATAGGTTAACTGTCATCGTGTTCCGTAGAATTAGCTTCACTATCTGCTGTCCACCAAATTGCCACTTTATGCAGGAAATTCTTATAGGTAATATTTTTTCCATGTATAACTGTGTATAGTTTGAATGAATTAAACAATGCACAGTTGATGAAAAACATTCCAACCCGTTTTGTCCATTTCTTTGTTTTTCGGAAAATAGAGTAATACGCGAGATATTGGTCCGCGCGATCTACGCCTTTCATATATGTATTATAGTTGATGATAGAATTAGGCTTTTGTATTGGGGCTGTGGATCTTCTGCTTCTGTTCGTGGATTTCATCAATTGTGCAGAATGTATGGTAGAAATCATATTCACATTTCTTCTGCCATTATTCCATACTTCTAACAAAATTTCGCGATTCCTGCGAAATTCGTACTGTCCTCTTGTAAGTCGTAGAGTTTTTAGCGATTGAGGAAGACCTCTATTTTTGCGAATGGTTCCACACACTCGCATCTTATTTTCTAGGAGAATTTGGGCCATTTTGACACTATTGTAATAATTATCTTGATAAATCTCGTGCCATAAGTTTTTATATGGTTCAAGAACTGTTAACACCGTGTCTTCTAATTTGTTTCCATCAGCAGCATAAATGTGGAAATTACAGATGTAACCTGTGACAGCTTCACACACCATTCTCACTAGTATCCCGTACTTCGTAATTTTTCCAGGATTGTACGTTCTAATCGAGAGTCTGCCTCTCCACGGAATTATGCATTCATCCAAAGATAGTTGTTGACTGGGTTTATACACAACATTAAATTTTCGCCGTAAATGATCAATCACAGGCTGGACTTTAGCAAGCCCATGTGCATTGTGAGGTATGTTGTCATTGTTCGCAAAATGCCAGCTCTGCATTATTTGCACAAATCTGTTTCGGCTCATCACCTGTGCGAAGAATGGAGTTTCTATAGTTCGATCGGTAGACCAGTAATCGTAGAGGACGTTTTTTTTTATTTGTCCCATTAGAACTATTAGTCCTAAAAACTTCTTCATCTCCGGTACAGTGATATCAGTCCATTTTTTTGCTTTTGATGGAATTTGATATCTTTCCATGACCTGGTAATGATATCTGTTCGATTCCATCACCAGGTGCTCGAAAAAGTCGTCTCCAATAAATAAATTGACACTATCCATTACATTTTCAGGAGAAGCTAGCGTAATTTTTATTCCAGGGCTGCCTTCGAACGGCTTCAAAATTCTTACTTCGTCGTTCCTCGACCATATCTCATCGTCATCTTCATTGTTATTTAAATCGTCTTCTATGATACTTATTTCTTCGTCCTCTGAATCACTGTATCTTAGTGGCAATACAGATCTTTGTTTTTGAATTATTATATCGCTACTATCACTTTCGTCAATATTATCACTTTCTAAATTACTGTCAGGACAGTCTGACAAATGATCTAAATAAAACTCTCCACTGCCATTTTTTTCGTTCATTGCGAAGGGTAAATGTATTCAAACGATATAAGAAAGTGTGTAGAGCCGAAGCAACGCAAGCAAAGCTTCTGTGCAATATACCTTACTCTAAAAGACAGGCGACAGTAAAAAAAATGATTGTTTATCGCTAAGACAACCGATTAATCGACCATCGGTTGCTGAGCGCTGGCG